TCACTAGTCTCTGCCAAGAAACTTTGATGACAGCTCCCAGGCCAAGCAACTGAAAGAGACCCATATTTGTGCTTTTTGCAACATGGCCCAGCGCAATTTGCAAATTATAGAACAATCTCACTAACACCGCATGCAATAAAATACTAGTGAAGGTCATCCAACCAGTACATTGCACCAGTATGTTGACAGGGAGCTGCCAGAGGTTCCGGCTGGATTCAGAAGAGGAAGTAGAATAAGGGATATCATTGCTGATGTCAGATGGATCCTGGCTGAACTAAAAGAATACCAGAAAGATGTTTACTTATGTGTTTGTTATTGACTATGCAAAGGCATTTGACTGTGTGTATCAAAAGCAATTACTAATAACATTGAGAAGAATGGGAATAACAGAATGATCCATTGTGCTCATGCAGAACCTGTATAAGAGGTAGTCATACGAACAGCACAAAGGAATACTTGGTCGTTTAAAATCAGGAAAGGTGTGCATCAGGATTGCCTCCTTTCACCACACGTTCTGTCTGTATGCTGAGCAAATCGTCAGGGAAACTGGACTCCATGCAGAAGAGAACAGGCTCGGACTGGAGGAAGAGTGACGAGCCACCTTTGGTCTGCCGTAACACAACCTTCCTTGAAATCGAGGAGGACTTGGAGAACTTGCTGATGAACATCAAAGACTGCAGCCTTCAGTATGGATCGCAACTGAATTTAAAGAAAACTAACATCCTCACAACTGGACCAACAGATAGGATCCTGATAAGTGGAGAAAATACGGAAGTTGTCAAGGATTTCACCTTGCTTGAATACACAATCAATGTACATGGAAGCAGCTAGCAGGAAATCAAAGGATGCATTGCAATGGGCAGGTTTTCTGCATGTGTTGAAGAGCAAGGATGTCCCTTTGAGGACTAATGTGTACTAAACCCAGCCCAAGCCCTGGTATTTCAATCACCTCACATGCTTGTGAAAGGTGGACAATGAATCAACAAGATTTGATTGATGCCTTTGAGTTATGTATGATGTTGACGAAGAATAGTGGAGGTGCTATGGATTGCCAGGAGAACAAACAAATCTGTCTTGGAAGAAGTACAGCCAGATGCTCTTTAGAAAGGAAATGCTGAGATTTTTCTCTCATGTACTTTGGCCATGTTATCAGGAGAGACCAGTCCCTCAAGAGAGGGAAAGAAGAGGGTCAATGAAACAGAGGAAGCCCCTCCGTGAGACGGACTGACAACAGTGGCTATAACAATAGACGCAAACAGAACCATTAGGAGGGGGCAGAGGACTAGGCAAGGTTTTGTTCTGTTGTACAACGAGTGGCCATGAGTTGGAAGTGGTCAGACGGCACCTAACAGGGACACATGCATGTGAACGATGGGTAATGCAGAAGGAAGACCGGAGAAGAATTTGGTGCATTTGTAAATATTGAAAGTACCATGGCGTGCCTGAAAAATCAGTCTTGGAAGAAATACAGTTGGAATGCTCCTTCGAATCAAGGATTGCATCAAGTCTTGGGGGCACACTAGCTTTCCTTCTGGTTTTCTAGCTCCAGGTCTTTGCACATTTCCTGATAATGCTTTACTTTGTGTTCTTGAGCTGCCTTTAAAATGTTCTATTCCGTTCTTTTACTTCGTGATTTCCTCCATTTTCTTTAGCTATTCTATGTTCAAGAGCGAGGTTCAGAGTCTATGTCTGACTGTGTTCTGCTATTCATAAGGTTTTCATTGGCCGATCCTGCATTAGTCCACAGCCCATTCCTTCTTTGTAGTCTGTTCTTAGTCTGGACCTTCCATTGAAACCTGTCCACCGGAGGTGACCCTGCTGCCATTTGAATACTGATGGCACCGTTTCCAGTGTGACAGCAGCACACAAGTCAGCACAAACTGATGGACATGAATATGGGGCCATTGAAAATGCCCTGGCTTGGGCCAGATGGACTTGATTCCTCAAAGTGGTATCGATGCTTAAGTTAGTAGTCAAGCCCAACTCATCTCTGCCGCCCAGCGACCTTTGCAGATGGATGAAGGACTCAAGGAAGCAGGCAAATGGTGTCAGCACATAAAGAACCCTGCATGAGAAAGAAACAAGTGTTGTCTAGGCCACACAGCACAGACAGATGTTGTTGGGGAAGGGGTTCAATGTTTATTTTGCAGAGATAAACTGCCCTCTGGGCAGCCTTCGCAGAGGTGCTTGCTGGATGATCCTGCATAGCAGTGTGGCTGAGGTGGCCTGCAGTTTGCGTCACGGGAGAGATGAAGCAGGGGTTGGTCACAGGCTGAATCCTGCCGGCTCTGAGGCCAGTCATCCACGTTATAGAAAGCTTAGAGCCCCGACAATAATAACTCATTGCCATGGAGTTGATTTCGAGTCTGCAGGACAGGGTAAAGCTACTCTACAGACGTTCCGAGGCTATAAATCTTTACCAAAGCAAGATGCCTCTGCACCATTCAGAGGACAGGCGAAGGAGACTGAGGAGTGGTAAGACGGTTGAGTGAAAGTCAGGGAAGTGTGAGATCATAAAAACGAAGGAAGTAGAAACCTATCAGAGACAAGGGGGCAAATAATATGGAGAAGTCATAATGAAATATTGAGGAGAAAAAAAGTTTCCTTGATTTGCCCAGGAAGAACTCACTGAAAACATCCTCAGCTTGACAACAAAGCCCACAGGGAAGAAGCACACCAGCCTGTATGAGCATGAGGTGTCAGTGGGAAGAGGTCTCAAAAGCTCAAAAACAGGCAACCAAATTGATGGGAAGGGGCGTGGGTGCAGTGGAGACCCCAAATCCACCTGTAAGATAATTTGGACAGAGGGCCACACGGAAGGGATGATATATCCAGGCTGCGGTATAGCCCTGATGAACCTCCTAACTATCCTCTAGCTCTCTAATAGTTCCACCCCTTACTATTGCAGTTGTTGTTTCACTTCCTTAGTCATGTCAGATTTGCGTGAGTTGGTTTTCATATTTAAGATCATTGGATACATGAAAGCCAAGATAGATAACACTTCAGAAATAGTAACAGGAGTGATGATTCCCTGAGGGCACAGGAAGAGGGGTGGAAGGGGGGGATAGGAAGCTCATAGTATTGAGGATTGTATAACCCCACTTGCTGGGATCGAACAACAGAATTATATGTGAATGGATATATCGGATGTATAAGATATGTCAATAAATAAATAAATAAGTAAATAAGGGTTCCTGGGGGGTATGGTGGGGGTGGGGAGAGGGGATAATGGGAGCAGATATCAAAGAGTTCAAGAAAAAAGAAAATGTTTAAAAACTGATTAGGGTAGCAATTGTACAATACTGATGGGATTGAACTATAGAATGTTATGATATCTGTAAGAGCTCCCAATAAAATGATTTTGAAAAAAGAATAGGTGGCTTGAGGGGCAACAAGCAGAGGGGAGAATGTGGTAGAAAGAACCTGAATCCTAGAGGCACAAGGGCCAGGAGATTCAAATCCCAGCTTCCACACTTTCTAACACGTTATTCAACATTTCTGTGCCTATATGAATTTGTAAACTGAGACTAACAATGGTGCACACCACATAGGGTTGTTGAATGTTTTATGAGCTTAACCATGCAAACCAGTGGTTCTCAACCTCCCTAATGCCGCGACCCTTTAATACAGTTCCTCATGTTGTGGTGACCGCCCCAACCATAAAACTATTTTCGTTGCTACTTCACGATTATCATTTTGCTACTGTTATGAATCGGATGACCCCTGTGAAAGGGTCATTCAACCCCCAAAGGGATCGAGACCCACAGATTGAGAACCGCTGATGCACCATTTAGTGCAGTGTCTGGTTCAAAAGAGGTGAATGTAGTGTTAATTGGTTCGGGGCAGGAAATTGAAACCACTGAAGGGATCTTTGCCTGGACCATTGGCTTCAAGGTCATCACACTGTAGCTGTTATCCAGATGTCAGGAAACAGTTGCTCCCACCATTGATGCAACTACAGCCCCTCACCCACAATGCTGTGACTTGGTGCACTGGAACATGGTGTACAGGTGCCACAAACATGTCTTTAGGACCTCCCTGCCAGGCACGAAGCCCCAGCAAGATAGCCTTTGCCTGACATAAACCTTCCAGACCTTGTCCATGTGTGTTTCATTGTCCGAACCAAAAATGTAGTACAGTCCATGTTGTATCAGGATTTCCAGGTTCAAGAGAATCTGGAACGTGTATTTTTGAGCTTTCCCATAGGGAGGGAGATGTAAAGGGGTAAGAATGGATACTGAGTGCCAGTAGATAGTATCTAGCTCATAAATCTTGAGACATAGCAAATTTTCTCATGCTAATCATGAACCACCATTCCAACTGTGGTTAAAATACAGCGTCTCACTGATTGACAAAAGTGTGCAAAATATAGAGGAATGGGACAAGACTCAAAACCAAAGGATCAACTTGTACAGGAAAATGGATATTTCTTTATGTAATATTGGAAGCGGAAGAAAGATGAGGCTCTCTACTACTGTAAAGGCTTACAGCCTTGGAAACCCACAGGGAAAGTTCTGCCTTATCCTATATGGTTCAGAATCCACTCGATGGCAGTGAGTGCGAATATTGGAAGATTACGGTGAAAAGGGGCAGATAGTTTATGGGTTGGAGTAAGAGGTGGAGAAGCTAAGAAAAGTTCTGCCTCGCGGTGTCTATTTTCTCTGTAAAGTAGGGAGGAAACATTTGCCCACGGGAAAAGGGACGAGACTGACTAGGCGGTCTAAAGAGAGTGGACAACTTAATGAAAGGGGAAAATGAGGAGCTGATGCCAAGGGCTTAAGTGGAGATCAAATGTTTTGAGAATGATGAGGGCAATGAATGTACAAATGTGCTTGATACAATTGATGTATGTATGGATTGTGATAAGAGTTGTATGAGCCCCCAATAAAATGATTAAAACAACAACAACAAAAAGAAAGAGATGAGAGAGGATGGCACAAGACATCGCTCAGCATACCAGCTAGCAGAAAACAAAAAAGAAGAAGACAAGAAACCAAGGGTTTATTTTATAAAGCATTGTTATTCTTATTTATTGAAAATGTTCATTTTAAAAGTCTTCAAAATAAAAACAAGTTAGAAAAATGGAGCCTGTGTAATAAGGGGCATGACAGGAGAGGGACTGAAAGGCCTTTCAGGACAGCAATTGAATTACAAGGTGGCAGGGACCCATTAACAGAGTACTGTAAACAACACAACCGTGGAGACACTGCTCTCAGGTTAACATGGCTTCATTTCCTTTATATTATTGTTTAGTGTGTGAGCACGCGACACCAGTCTGGACCCAGAGACTCTCCGCAGGAAGGTGAAACCCAAACACATGCATATGTACATATCACTCTCAAAGAAAGATCTTTCCTGATTTGAAACAATCCTATACCTTATTGACTACTGGCACCTTTATTGCCAGCTGTCGACTATCCACAGACAGAATAGATTCGAAGATGGGAGTTGGTGGTGGTTTAAAAATTTTTTTTTAGGTGAAGGGTGTTGTATTCTAAACCACTGCGCTGAAAAACAGAACCACCACCATTCCTAGAAATGTTCACCCTTCCGCTTCCAAGGAACAATGGGTGTGACTGGCGGATGTTGGACCATGGTAGTAGCCCACTTCCTGTAGACGGTGTTATTTCTACTGTGCAGTCAACACAGACAACTGCCCCATACTATATAGCCATGGGACCTTGAGGTGCCCCCAGTATCAGAGAGGAAAGGGGCTCCTTTAGCAAGCTGGGAATTTCCAGCTCCAAGTTTGACTCCTAAACATTTGGAACGCCCACATTTACAGGCACCCATGAAATGTACCTAGAAGACAGCTTTGATCACTCCGTTGACTCTGTGCCTCTCTTTCCAGGGACTTTCCCTATCTGGTTACATTTTGCCTGTATTTGTGGGCAAAAGGTTCTGCTTTGTCCTGGAACCTAGGGTCGACTCTCAACTTTGTTGAATTTGGATGTGTGCTGCCCTCTTTGACACTCTCTTAAACCTGTTCTCACATCGTTGTTGTTTCTGGGTGATTCCCAAAAGTGCTTGGATTTGATTGGCTGAGCAGCTTGCGTACACCAGCTCCAAATAATTAGCTTCAGTAGTAACCAGCACCCAGTCACCACAGAGGCCTTCTTATTCTGGATAAATAAGGTGGACAATCAGAACGTTTCTGCAAATAATGCTTAGATCCTACTCAAAGAGCGCAAGGAATATTACTTCTCACAGCAGACACGAGAGAGCACTAAAGTGAACGAAAGCTGTCTACTAGGGCACAGGATCCCTCAGTATAGATTGTTTTGAAAGTTGAAAGGTCATAGTTTCAATGTGCAGCGTAGAGGATGTAATTGCTCAGAATCTACCTACGTTGCTAAGAAACACAGGCATATCAGGTTTACACACTGTTTGGTACAGTTGGCTAAAAAGCACAGGAACACACCAACTTACACACTAGTCTGAAAGCTAAGAAAAATGCCCATCATGCACTATAAAGAAGTGGTCAACTCTGCTGTGGAGGGGAGGACCGTTCAGTACAACTTGCTAAGGGATTTGGTGCTGGCATGAATGACCAGAGCTTCTGCTTCACTGAGTTAAAATGAAAATGGACGAAAAAGGAATAAGGGAACCGTTCTTGTCTTGTTTTGCAGACAACGAGGACAATAATCAAAAAAGACATGTGCCCTGAGGGCTGGCACATGATGGGCTAAGGAAGGGCATCGGGACCACTCAGGCAAAGACGTTTATGTTTCATCCTACCCTAGTCACACTAAGTACCGAGGTGCTTCCGAGCTTTGAGGGGAAAGATGGATTTGCACTGACCTATCCCTGGCCAGCCCCTGTAGGACAGCAAGTGAACTCAGCGAAAGTGACCTGAGGACAATGGTTGTGCAGAGGCACTGTAAAATGAAGGCCATCTGAAGACCACTTGAAGTCATTGGCCTGCATGCGCTTTCCTTTTCTTAGAGAATGGAAAGGACCCTGGAAAGACGTCTACCACTGTCTTCCACATTATCCCCTGCTTCAAAACAAAGCAATCAACTAATAGCCAAACAGCCACAAACATCCAAGCAACCATAGCGCACCCGGGGGCATACACACACGCAGAGAGAGAGAGACTTAAACACAAAATAAAAACCAAAGAAGTCAACAACAAACTGAGTCAAAGCACTCAGCTGAACATTTCCAGGAGCCCAGCTGCCCAGTGCTGGCTACGGAAGAACCGAGGTCTTGCTGCCGGCCTCAGCCCGGATACACTCATCCGTTTGCTTCAGCAATCTCCGGACCAGCTTCTCCAGGTCCCTTCTCGATTTCAGTTCTTCTTCCAAGCATTGCTTCATTCTTTTATTCTCCTGCAATAGCAAACATTGTTTTTCAAGGCAAAGTATAGTGACCCCTTCCCAAAGCCCCTCCTGCTCACCCGATCAGCAGCCTTCATCGCTGGCTACATGTTCTGTCTTAAACTCACCCTCCTCAGTTCCCAAGACAAGGCAATGTCCTGGTGGTCCGGTCTTTGTCTTTTCATTCAACACTTTCTTCACTTATTTTCATTCAACTCCAGGTTTGATAAGGGACCTTCTAAATTTCAATGTGTCTGACTGCCTCTCCTGAACACCAGGGGCACGAGGTCCAATGCTCACTTGCTCCGTGCACCTCAAACTCATTCGAGTCTAACCTGAACTCAGATCTCTCCCATCACCTCACACTTGGGTACTTTGTGATTTTCATGAAGAGCATCATCATATCACACTAGAACCAACATTTCTCCAAGTGGGCGATACTGCCCCCTCTGGGGTGCTGGGACAATCTAGGGGCACTGCAAAAGCAGATCTCCACCCTTCATCCAGGGCTGTAAGCTACAGTACAAACATTCTGAATCGGCAGGGAGGCGCCGAGTAAATTTTTTTTCTGTAAAGGGGACTGTAGGCCTAGTAAGTGTGAGAAACTATGCTAGAAGAACTGATTTTTAAAAATAAAAAATGTCATCTTTAATCCCAGATTCTCTGTATGTGTGTCCACGTTTTGAAATATGCAAAATCATCTATAGGCAAAAGAAAACATATGCCAACCCAACGTATACATCTATAATGTGGTGAAATGCATTCTATGTGTAAAGTTGTATAATGATCCTCGCTATCCTTATCACAGTAGTTCCACCATCACTAACAAATTCAATGTCCCAAAAGTTCCCCTTTCTCGTACCCAGCAAGTCCTGCTAACGGCTATTAATTTTTCATTGTTATATAAATGTGCTTATGTCACGTGAGATTGAACAGTATGTGTCCTTTCGTGACGGACTCATTTCACTCAGCAGGAAGCTTTTGAGGCTTATCCGTGTGGTGCCATGCATCCAGACTCGATCTCTCCACGTGGCTGGATGAGATGCCCTTGCATGTACATATCGCGATGTGTTCCTCCAGTCATCTGTGGATGCACAGGATGCTTCATTCCAATGCCACACCATCCTCTTCCTTGACATCCCTTCTCCTCCTCCACAGCCTCACTGGAATCACCTCGGTTCCAGACCTCTTCAGGTTTCACCCTCAATTTTGAAATAACCTCTTAAGTGGCCTTGTGGCCCCTGGTCTCTCTCCTCTCCAACTCATCCGTCACTCTGGCACCATCAAGTACAACCAGTCTGCAACCACGCTGGCAGGTAAATCCCCACGTGGCCCAGGGAAGAGTCTGGGTCGTGGGAAAGCGATGACGGCTGCAGAGAGGCTCACAAGCCTCGAGGGATGGTTCTGCTGAGACTGACAGTCAAGCATGGCTTCTCTGGTCTTACATCCTATTTTTTTTGTTTGTTTGTTTTTTAAAATCATTTTATTGGGGGCTCATACAACTCTTTTTTTTTAAGTTTGGATTTTATGTATTTGTTTAATCATTTTATTAGGGGCTCATACAACTCTTATCACAGTCCATACATACATCAATTGTGTAAAGCACATTTGTACATTCATTGCCCTCATCGTTCTCAAAACATTTCCTCTCCACTTAAGCCCCCAGCATTAGGTCCTCATTTTCCCCCTCCCTCCCCATTCCCCCCCTCCCTCACGAGCCCTTGATAATTTTTTTTAATCAATTTATTGGGGCTCATACAATTAATCACAATACATAGATCAATTGTGGAAAGCACATCTATACATTTGTTGCCCTCATCATTCCCAAAATTCGCTTGCCTCTTGGGTTCCCGGAATCCGCTCATTTTCCATTTTTTCCCCCCCTCCCCTTCCCTTCCTCCTCCCCTTTCCCCCATGCACCCTTAATAATTTATAAATTATTATTGTATCCTATATTACACTGTCCGGCGTCTCCCTTCACCCACCCCGCTGCTGCCCGTCCCCCAGAGAGGAGGTTATATGTGGCTCCCTGTGATCCATTCCCCCTTACTACATCCCCTTTCCCTCCTGGTATCGCCACTGTCACCCCTGGTCCTGAGAGGTTCTTCTGTCCTAGATTCCCTGTGTTTCCAATTCCCATCTGTACCGCTGTGCATCATCTGATCTAACCAGGTCTGCAAGGCAGAATTGGGGCCCTGGTAGTTGGGGGGATCTTGCATCCTATTTACAGGTGTGAGGAAACATGAGCGTGGTAACGAAGTTTGGCACTCGATGGCAAACTGCTAACGAAGACGTTAAATAAAGCCGCAGAAAGAAACGCGAACTCAAGGCCACCTGCTTACAATTGATATCTAGCACACCTTGATCACAGAAGGAAAAGAAAACCCCCATCTCACCACTTTCCTTCTGGAGATTTCCTGGAAGCATCTATCAGCGTGGGGCAAGGACGGGAGAGTGGTCCAAGAGAATGACTTTTTCTTTTTAATCATTTATTGGGGGCTCGTACAACTCCTATCACAATCCATCCATCCGTCCATTGTGTCAAGCACATTTGTATATTTGTTGCCCTCATCATTCTCAAAACATTTGCTTTCTACTTGAGCCCTTGGTATCAGCTCCTCGTGTTTCCCCTTCCTCCCTCCCTCCCTCATGAATCCTTGATAATTTATAAATTATTATTATTTTGTCATGTCTTACACTATCTGATGTCTCCCTTCACCCACTTTTCTGTTTATACGTGATTACCTGCTTCAGTTCTTTGACCTCATCCTTCAAGGCATAAACGGTATCAACGAGGCTCCTAGAAGAAAGATAAAATTCAGAGACGAATTTCTGAGGAACCGAGGAGGTAAAAGTGCAGGTCCTGGACTTTCTAGTTGATCCATCGAGTTTCCTGGAAGGGCACTGCTTGGCGCTCCTTGTTTTACATGGCGCCCCACCCCCACTGCTTCCCCACCATGCTCATTCAGATACCATTTCCCTTTGTCTATGCTTCCCTCCTCCTTGGCCACTCACCCTCTAGCGGAGATGAGTACAAAATAAGAGAGAGGGGGCCATCAGGAGACATGGGTTGCTCTATCTGTGAGGTGGTAATGCACATGACCGTGATGAGCAAGGGACCACAAGGCCATGACGAGGTATACGATCTGTGCTAGGGCCCTGCTTTCCGCATCGGTCTAACGTCCTGTGGCCCTGCTCTTCTTGTTGTTAGGTGTTGATGAACACGTTTGGACTAAGAGAACTGTCCCCACGGGTCTCCTGAGATCTGTGCAGGAGCAGTTTGTCAGGTCTTACTCCTTCAGAGCCAACTGCTGGGTTCACCCCTTCACCCTTTGTTAGCATGGTGTCACCAGGGCTCCTTGACACGACCCGCTAGTACCCGAGGCCAGTCTTCTTTATAGAAGGGCCCTCGGGAAATGTACATTTATTACCAAAGAAGCGATGAGGCACCCTGGCTCGGTTGTGGGATACTTTTTTTTCTCCTCGCTGGCTCTTTCCCTGGACAAGGAAGCTGGAGATCTGGGTTCCAGATCTGATTCTATCACTAGCTGTGAAATCTTGGCTGACTAGCTTCCTTGTCCTCGTCATTGTGTTTCTGGACATATACAGTAGCAAGAATGCCACATTCCTAACAATACCTCACAAATCTTCTGCTGGCAATTAATTTAGGTAAGATAATAATTACTAGAATGATCATCATGTATTGCGTGATTGCTGTAGGCGAGCCCTTCTACTTATTAATCCATTTAACCTCCCAATGTGGGACCATCATACCCATTTTATAGATGAGGAAATGGGAGGTGTGGCAGTAAGAGGATTGGTGTCAGGTCGCACTGCGTGGGAGCTGAACCAGGACTGTGCTCTGGAGCTCCCATGCCTTTACGATTGTGCTCTATCGCTTCATGCACCCGACAGACAAACGCATCGGCAATGCCGAACACGTTGAAATGTGCTGCTCTATGCAAATTCACGGCTTGACTTCAGAAATGACTCACATTTAAACAAATGAATTATTTTGGCCCCTTTGTAATTATTTTATGAGCCATAAGGTACTAAACCCGGTTTTTCCCCCATTAAATCACACTTACTACTACTGTGCAGAGAGAGGTAGGCCAGTGATATCATTTCCCTGAACTCTAGTTTCCTCATCTATAAAAGTGGTGAGAGTAATGTCTCATCAGATGGCTGTAGGATTTTGTACACGGTGAGTATGGAAAGTTGTGCCTAACCCCATCAATGCAAGCAGGATTGGGCATGGAAATCCATTCTGTAGCCTTTCCAGGTGCCTCCTAAACCCATCCAAACAAACCCCAAAAAAGGGTGGCTATCTATCAAAACAGCTTCCAGAGGGTCCATGTCAACTCACGACAGCCCCATGTGTTTCACTGAAGAGCTGAGCTCCACAGGATTTCCGGGCCTGTGACCCTGCGGAAGAGGATCACCAGGCCTTTTTTCCAAAGTGCCTCTGGATGGGTTTGACCCTGCAACCTTTTTGTTAATAGCACAGAGCCATCCAGACTACTGAGAGTCTCATGTGCTATAAAGGGCAGCTGCCTCCAACAACAGCCACAGCACTGAGTCATTCTGAATGTTCTAAGTCATCTGCCTCTGCTTTTCTCTTGACCTTGTTGGGGTGTTGGGGGTGGTGGTTGCTTTCCCAAGGTTCCTAACTGCATGCTCAGCAAGGAGGGTGCCATGCCCAAATAGGTAAGGGCTGTCCATCAGTGCCAGCTTTACAAGAGCCATCCAGCCCGGCCAGAACTTCCTTCCCAGCCCCCAGCTGAGTAGCCCGGTCTACTCACTTTTCTTCAATGATTGTCTGGCCATTACTTCTGGTTTCTTCAATGATGAGTTTCTCTTCCTCGGGGAGTAAGACCTGTGGAACAGAGTCTTTGCGAGGACCTGCAGACAACGAGTGCAAGAGAGGAGAGTTCCTAGTGCAGTCAATTTATAGACGCCAGTGCCTCTCCACTACTCTTATGGATGGAACTTGGTGGGTAACATTGGTGCTACCCAGCATGAGCTAACGGGATCTTACTGATATGAAAAATTCTAAATGTCTACCGAAATGGATGTCATGGAGGACAGCAGTTGGTATTCGGTTCAATTGTGTGACACTCATCTTTGGCCAATGTGCTTCTCCCAAAACCAGGAGCTGACAGTGCATTTTCTGTTCCTGGGCAGTGCAAATCGTTAAATCCTCAGCTGCTAACAGAAAGCATGCAGGTTCAAGTCTACCAAGAGGTATCTCAGAAGAAAGGCCTGAGAAACTACTCCTGAAATATCAGCCATGGAAGGAAGGTCATAGGATGCCGAGTGGGGCTCAATCAAGGGCAATGTAGCAGCGAGGAATTACTAAACCCGAATGAAGGTCGAACATGATGGTGGGACAAGAGGGAAGTAAAAAGGAAATAAAGGAAATAACCAGGAAGCAAAGGACATTTATAGAGGACTAAATATAGACATGTACATATGTGTGATACACACAAACATATGAGAGGGGTATAGAACTAGGTACTCATATCTATATGTTAAGAATTAAGGTAGCAGATGGACATTGGGCCTTGACTCAAGTACTCCCTTAACACAGGAAAACTTTGTTCTAACAATCTGGCATTCTAGGATGCTCACCTTGCTAACACGATCAATGAAGACAAAATGGGAGCATAAGCAAATATGGTGAAGAAAGCTGATGGTGCCCAGCTATCAGATGATATATATAGTGACTTGGGTCTTAAAGGCTTGAAGATAAACAAGCAACCATCTAGCTCAGAAGCAACAAAGCCCACATGGAAGAAGCACACCAGCCTCTGTGATCATGAGGTGTCGATGGGATCAGGTATCAGGCATCAAAGACCCAGAACAAAAATCATCAATGTGAATGAGGAGAGTGCGGAGTGGAGACCCAATGCCCATCTACAGACAATTGGACATCCCCTCACAGAGGGGTCACAGGGAAGAGATGAGCCAGTCAGGGTGCAGTATAGCACCAATGAAACACACAACTTTCCTCTAGCTCTTTGGTGCTTCTTCACCCCACTATCATGACCTCAATTCTACCTTACAAGTCGGATTAGACCAGAGCATGCACACTGCTACAGTTAAGAGCCCGCAACACGGGGAATCCAGGATAGATAAACCCCTCAGGACCAACAAGGAGAGTAAAGATACCAGGAGGATTAGGGGAGGGTGTGGGGAGAAAGGAGAAATGGATCACAAGGATCAACATGGAACCCCCTCCCAGGGGGATGAATAATAGAAAAATGGGTGAGGGGCGAGAAAGGATGATGTACGATATGGGAAAAAATAATCTATAACTTATCAAGGGTTCGTGGGGGAGGGCGGGGGGGGGCAAGAAGTGGGGAGCTGATATCAGGGGCTCAAGTGGGAAGAGAATGCTTTGAAAATGATGATGGCGGCATAGGTGCAAACGTGCTTGACACACTGGATGAATGTATGGATTGTGATAAGAGATGTAAGAGCCCCCAATAAAAGTATTTAATAAAAGTTTTTTAAGTACTTCATCTGCCACAAAAAAAGAAAAAGAATTCGTTGGAATTTCAGACAGGCATGGGGCTGCAATGAGTTGGGATCAATTGCATGACCTCTGGTGACTGCTCAGAACATTAGCAGGGAATAACGCACCACACTCAATGTGATAGAGTTACGTGACTTGAGTTAAAGTCATGGAGAGAGTACTACTGCCCTGGGACACCCCGTGTTTCTCGGGCCTCAGAAACACCATGGTTTCTCCTTTGTTCTCTTTACAGTCCTCTAAAGTTAAGGTGGTGTCAACAAAGACAGACTCCTTATTGGCCACGAGTGGAGTGGGTTGGCGAGAATATCAGATCAGTAGCAATGATATAAGCATCCCCAGCCTTTGCTTGATGGCGTACATTCATCGGGCCTACCAAAGGGCTCTTCTGCACTTCCAGCTTCTCCCCTCATTTCTGGATCATTCCTCTCAGGTCTCATAAATAAGCTTCAAGTTTCAAGACCTTTGGGCCTTTGGTCTCCCTGAGCCATTGCCCTCTTTTCTTCTGATCCATGTTCCTTCAGAGTTGTCAGCACTCTGGGCTTTCACTCATGCATCTACCTTTCTTTTACCGAGGGCACATGGGGCTCTGCCTTGCGTAGGCTCCAGCCCTTCATTGGTGCTTAATAAGAGGATGATGTACTGAGAGTTCCAAGGGACTGAGAATCGTCGTTAGAGAGGGATAGAGCTCAGTAGGTCCCCATGATAATGAAATGTCTGCCATGTGCCAAGCACTGTGCTAGGCACTCCCCACATGTCCCTGGTGAGCTTGTGGCAAGGAGGGGCCAAAACTGTGACTCTTGAGACCAGATACCTGCCTTTTTGTAGAAAGAATCATGGGGAAAGGTCATACAAGAGAGGATGAGGTCAAAGTTGATGTAAAAAAAAAATGCCACCAAGATGACTCTAACCCCTCACGTGTCAGAACAGAATTATGCCTCATAGCGTTTTCAGTGGCTGATTTTTTGGAAGTAGATCTCCAGGCCTTTCTTCTGAGTTGCCTCTGGGTGATTGAACCTCCAAACGCTGGGGTTGCAGCTGAATTTGTTAACCATTTGTACTACCCTGGGGCTTCTTCTTCTTCTTCTTTTTTTTGCATTATTCATCACCATCAAGTCAATGCTGACTCAATGTGACCTCCCCGCCCCTGTGGGTTTCCGAGACTGTAACTGTTGACGGGAATAGAAAGCCCGGTCTTTCTCCGGCTTAGCTAGTGGTGGTTTCGAACTGCCGACTATACAGATGGCAGCCCAACTCATAACCACAATACCACCAGGGCTCCTTTTCGCATTAGGGCTGTTTTTTATACTTTCTCCTTATCCCCTTCTCTTTCCTAATTCTTACTAGAAAACTACTCTTACATTCCTCTCCTGGCTCCTGGAAACTTGTGATCAGAGTTGGGAAGGCCCTAAGCCACCAGCAGGTGTGTCTGTGAAACAGAAGGTCTGCCAGTCCCCTCTCCACAGTCAAATGGGTCAATTTTCCATGGACTGTTTTCCTCGGGAGAGCCTTGGAAACGCATTCCTCGGCAAGAAGGCATCCTGGTAAATCCACCTCAGGACTCTCTGACCACACTCAAATGATTGGTAACTGGTTTGTCCAAAATGGAGTGTTCTTGTTCAAATGGATTCATTTCTTATGCAGGTGCACAACCTTCACAAAAGGACCCGAGGGGACCTCGAATGGTGAAAGGCAAGAGACGCAATGGGACCCAACTTCGAAACAACATCGACATGAATCAGAAAAATGTTCTCTCACTCCGTCTGTAGCCCGAGAGTCATGCAGGGAAATAGCCTCACCTTATAGGGTCCTTATGAGTCCCCATCGACTCGATAGCAGTGAGTGCGTTTGTTGTTGTTGTTATTACGTATTTGAATAGCACCCTGACACTCTTTATATATTTTGCTGAGGCCCTGCTAGGTAGCTACGTTTCCAGTTTGGTGAAGCAATGTTCTTTTAAATATGCGGCTGATCAAAGATCTTATTTTGACTTCCTTTCCAAATCTGTCTATAAGAGAAGATTAGCATCGGTTCACAGACACAGGAACTCTCTGGGCTCTTTAATTCCTAACTAGTGTTGGTCTCTGTGTACTTCAAAGGCAAATAACTTTACCAAAAAAAAAAAAAAAGCCTTTTCTTTATTTCTATCACCTCCCACTTTTTTTGTGTGTAATGCTTGCATCTCTTTCTCTGCCTCCCTCCCCCTTTCTCTCTGGGTGAAAAGAAAGAGTGGGTAAACAAACCGCTTGCAGGCAGAACCACCTTATCTGAAAGATGTGCAAAGCACCTGCTTTACTACCAGGCCGCCTGGGTTGCTTTTCTCCTTTTCTAAGAGCCAGTGAGCAGGTAAACAACAACAACACACTATTAATTAGTGACAGTAAGTTGGGTGAGCCTACCTAAACTATAAGGAACCTGGGGACCTGGTGGGTTATCACTGAACTGCTAACTGCAAGGTCAGCAGTTTGAATCTACCAGCCGAGCTATGAGAAAAATGAAGGTGTCTACTCCTATAAAGATTCAAAGTCTAGGAAACCCCAGTGAGCAGTTCTACTCTGTCCTATCGGGAGGCTAGAAGTCTAATTAACTTGATGGCCTTGGGATCGTGGCGCTATGAGCGCAATGGTTGGTTACTCAGCTACTAAACTACACAAAGGCTCGGTGGTTCAAATCCACGCAGTGGCTCCATGAAGTGGAAAACCCTAGTGATCTGCTCCCAGACAAATCAAAGCATCATACAATCCTCTGGGGGCAGCACTGCTCTACGGAGAAGGCCTGAGCCAGAATCAACCCGGTGGCATGAAATAACAAGCGCTTGAGCTGTGACCTTGTTGGAAATTTGCGCTGGTACAATAGGCTTCGATCACTTTGAGAATCTGAGCGTCCTCTTCCAGAGCAGCCGTACCTGTTAAATTTAATTCACAGTTAATTTTCATAGCAATATGTGTCTCATAGCCCTCAAACTGCTGCTGTGCCCCACCCTCCCCATTCCCTGGGACTGCCTGCTCTGACGGGGATGTGACAGTAAGTCTGAAGAAAACCCTACCCTACCCCCCTCACGAGGGAACCAGAGTGACGGCGTACCGATAAGCACTGGGGTCAACCTCGGTGAGTCAGCACCAAGGGTGGCTGCTCCTGCAGGTCAGGGCTCGCCATCGGGGGTCTTGCCAGCTGCCTCTTAGAAGCCACAATGATAGCACTGGGCTGGGTGCTGGCTTCAGTTTACGTCTGATACACCACATCCTTCCTCTCCTTTAGAGTTCAAGGTCGTCTGCTCTAGGAAGCTCTCCCCTCCAACAACCCCACCCATTTTCCAACCAGCCAGCCTAGTCACCGATTCACCCAACTCAGTCTTGAGACCACAATAGGGTAGCACCCTAGTCACATACTCATGTTCACACCCAAGTGTGGGTGAGAAGTGGGGGATGGAGAATGGAAGTGGAGCAAAGATTGATCCAAACCTTATCCCCCACAGAGATATGCAAAGTTGTCACCTCTTTGTGAGTCATCTCTTAGTCCTTAACATTTGCCCCAAAGTATCTTGTTCACAGCCTTCTGGTCAAGGACAGGAAGTACTATGGACTGGTTGATTGATTTTGCGTTCGTCCCCAAATACAGAGCCGTATTTGAGATGCCAGCAGGCTGATTCCTTGGCTACCCAAGGATGCCATTGAGAATTCGACTTCCAGAAAGAATTTAGCCTGCAGTTCAATGTATTCTACCTCTATACAGATCGTCGCAGGCATTGGAAACAAAGAGGGGGGAAATGCTTCCAGATCAAATGGGGCCCTTTAGTAGTTCTAGAACCCAGCAGAGAAAAAGACTGGACGCAAAGATAACACAGGTGGTGTCCGCCTAAGATGACAGGAAGTGCAGCAGGAAACTGCAAAAATCTGCAGGATGACCAAGCCTCCCCACTCATTTGTATGTAGCAGATGATGCTGAGGACAAATTGCTCCCATCAGCTGCTTAAAGCAAAATTCATTAGCTCGTCTGTAATCAATCCTCAAAAAGCACAAAATACATACTTTTCCGAATCACATACTCCTCCTCTGATGGTTTTCTTTCGGTCTTTCTTTTGTGAAGAAATTTCTTCATGGTTTTGGGGCTCTTACTAGATTCCTGTAAGTATAGAGGTGTCTTAATGAATTCAAATCCTCGCCCCCCACACACATGCACACACACACACACACACACAAATACAAAAAGAACAAATGAACAAACAGAACATCTCTTTCTTATTTGGGCAGGTTTAGTTATGAGTGCTTCACAACTTAATATATACATATAAGCATGGCTCCAATACACTTTGGGAGGTCAAACAAAACAGGGTCAATGACATGATCCTCTCAATCGCCATAGGAATGGAGTAGGCCTACTGAAGATGGGGGTGGATGCTGCCAGAGGCCAAATGCCTTTCTGGACAGAAAATGAATGGGAACCCAGGAGGAAGAACAGGATCCTGAAGTTGATTCCTGTTTCCCACCAATGTACTCTTACGAGAATCAAATCACCATGCTCTCTGTTAAGGTGGTATTTGTGCCTTTTCAAAAGCTTCAAAAGTTCTTAAATAATTTTCCTTAGCAAGAGTCCCAGGAAGAAGAGCACAATTTCTTCTTCTCAGATGGGAAAATTAAGGAAGGGAGAAGCAATCATTTTCCCAAAGACAGATAGATGAGTGAGATGAAGAATTTCCTGGTAACTAAGTTTGGATGAGGGGCAATGCCTCTCTGGCCAAGTTTACGTAGACCTACATAAAAGAATAGTTTTAATTGGCAGATAAGAGGTGTTGATTACTTTGATTTTGTTCTGCCACGGGAATAACAAGGAGGTCTAAAAAATTGCTTCTCCAAATAAACGGGTCATGACTTCATCTTCCTATTCCACTACCCCAAGCCATGTGCACAGGAATCACCCTGTAAACTGTATGAAACGACGTTTAATTTCGTCCACTTCACCGCAGTGTTCCACTTAGACTTGAAAACAGATGGACATAAAAAGCTCACATGTAGCAGGTACACTAATATTTTTTTAAAGCACGCAGGCAAACAAGCATTGTTTAGGATCATATAAGACGACACTTTCATATTTATTTCACAAGAGCTTGCTCTTTGATGTTACTTACACGTCAGAATTGCATCTTCATATTTTAGCCACCAATTGTAACAAGGAGCAAAATAAGCATCAAAGGTTATAGCGCAAGCATTATGACGTCACTGAAAGCCAAAAATATTGTTCTACCCTTACCTTCAAGATATAAGACATCCTCTAAAGTGAATATGCAAAGAAAGAGAAGATGAGCGTGAGAGGTTGATGATTATAATGACCCCCATCCATTTATCAATAATTCTAAAACAACATTTTTAAATGTTAGTGTTATCATCAATTACACCGAAAGAATATCACCATGTCCCCCGCATTAGTTTTAGGTGCAATACCATCATGCAAAGCCCAAAGAATACAGTTCTGTGCAGAATAACAAATGCTGAAAATAACTGAAATGCACACCACCGAGTAAGACTATATTAATCACTCTTCCCACAGCAGAAACAAAGTGACCATGCCGTTGTTTTAATAGATTAGTTCTGTGAAAGATGAAGTCTGCTCTATCCTTTGTGCTCACCTGACCTTGAGTTTAGTAACTCACAGATACAAAATGGACATTGTTTAAACAGGGACCCAGAGAACTGTGAAGCGTCACTCCCAGATTAGAGAAGAAAATTGGTTGCTTGCAGGAATTACAGGTCAATTTCCGAAAGAAACCTACAGGACTATCTTCTGATCAAATCCTCAATCCAGGCACATACTAAAGATTCCACTCCAGGGGTATGGCTCCTCTCACGTAGATCTGAAAGTGTCAACAAATTCTCCCAGGCCCACAACTTTTCCACTTTTTGTTTTACTAAGAGCTGGATACAACAATTCATCAAAACAGCAGACGTACGGTGTATTAAGTAAAAATCAAAAAAGTCACTGCTATGGAGTCGATGCCGACTCGGAGCCACCCTACAGTGGGACAGGGTAGAACTGCCCCTGTGAATTTTTGCGATGATAACTGTTAACAGGAGTAGAAAGCTCCCCCTTTCTCCCTTTCAGTCAAAAGAAACGCTAAATTAAGCTAGTCTGTGTCACTCATCCCAACACACAACACTTCATAGAGACATAGGCTGTCTTTGCACCGTGATTACTGCATCTCATAACTGTCACCAATGTACTGTTCACGCACCAATTTCAAGAACAGTGATGAGTAAATCAGCCTCCTTCTGAGATCTGAACTTGACAGAAGTTGGGGGAGGAGGGGATCCCTGTTAGGATGGAAGGGTAACATTCCACATGGTCTTGCTAACCGCTAGTGATTAGCATTTCCTGACTACAACTCAAAGAGCAAAAAAAGAAACAAAACAAAACAAACAAAAAACCAATCCCCACCCTATCTAAATATCAAATGTTTTTTTCTGAAAAGCCTTTTTTAACAAGGCATCCCTTTTATTAAACGACTTCCTTCTTCGACTGCAACATATATCACTCCCATAGTTCTAATTCAGGTCATGGTCCGATAAAGCGTTACTGACTCGTAGATCACAGTGATCCTCAATGCAGAATTTTATCTGCTTGGCTGGCAATTCAACTCAGATTAAGTGGACCTTGTGGGAGATGCATGTACAAGCTTACTGATTTCGGGAACTAGTTATAAAGGAACCACAGAGACCCTACAAGGAGACACCCAGAAACTCGAAAGGACATTCACTAAATATGCGTGGATGTACAATGAGAGAAATAAAAAATAAGAAATCAAAATCACCAAGTCCAGCAAGCCAAGGTGGGCTGGCGGAATATCGCCTCGCATAAATTCTAACACATTCCCACTAATACGCTATGAAATGAGCTTGTCAGAAGCATTTTATACCACATGTAGCAAAGTTACCTCTTTATAACCTAGTGCTGCTGAAGGTCTAAGTGGGGGTGCAGGTCGCAGACAACTTAAACTCCACGGTTTTATAATCTGAGGAGGTTCCAAGGGTCCTCGGGGCTGTCCAGTAGAGCTAAAAGACTGGGAAAAGGTCTGATGAGATGTTGGCAGTCTGCCATCTGAACCCAACCTGGTGCCACATAGTGAGAAAATTCACAGTAGCTCCATCGGTTTGAGCATGACCAACAAAGCCAGCCATAGAAAAAGGAAGATGGGAAAACAAAGGTCTCTAGTTTGAGAGCTGGCCCTTTGTAGTCACAAAAACGGACTCCGTATCCTATGATCAGGCAGGAGAGTTACACAAAAGTTAATATTTAATGGATTCAGTGATGTGTTTAGCACTGCATTAGGTGCTTAAATTGGTGATTTTGTCAGAATAACCTTAGACCCAGCAAAATGAAGTTAACTCGCTAGTAACTGGCAAAGACAAGATTTGAACCCAGTCTGATGCCAAGACCCACGTACTTCCCACCACAGCACAGTGCTCAGAACTGGAATTTTGGCATCACCGCTTCTAAGTGTTAACAGTATCACAATCACCCATTTTACCCAGAAAGTACAGTAAATGTTCATCAATTCAAATTCCATGAATTCTGAATTTATGGTAACTCAGAAGGCAATGCTAAAACTTTATCTTTGAAGAGGGTTACTGAGCAAAGGTGTTAGCATATATGAGATTACATGGAGATGTTGAAATACTGATGAAGGTAAATGATGGATTTAGACTTAGCATCTTATTCATATAGAAATAACTGATTAAAAATAGGTCTTACTGGCTCATTAAGAGATCTTAGCAGGACCATTGGTTAGAAACACCGATTAGCAGTTAGTTAGAGTAATTTAATACTATTGAACAAAACTATGCATCTCAAAGTAAACCTCCTCGCTAATGTTGACAGGCAGGCCTTCACAAGGAAAGAATCTGAATTAGTGAGATTGAAATGTACTTCAAAATCTATAAATATCACAAATGACCCAGAGATGACAGGCATGCTCACGACTTTTTGGTCAGTCTTCAGCAGGCAGGATGTGATGAAAACTCTACGGTCCCTGTACAAGACAAATGGGCCACTTACGGAGTGAGCACTGCAGGATGATGAGGTTTTCGATAATGAGCCGCAAGAAGCAGGGCCTTGGGTCAGTCTGCAGAGTTGGTCCAGCCACTCCTGGAAGTCCTGACTGTTGGTGCAATGGACCACAAGTCGCTCTGTGAGGTTACCTGCATCACCCAATGAGGGGCATTGGGAAGCAAAAAGGCAAGGCGGGCCTTCAGCTTGCATCAGCAACAGACTTCATACAAGTAAAACATGGGTGTCAATTGTCAAGGGCTCTTACAGCCAAGTCTGCAGTTTGAAACCACCAGCTGCTCCGGGGGAGAAAGTTGAAGCTTTCCACACCCGCCAAGAGTTACAGTCTCGGAAACTCACATGGGGCAGTTGAACCCTGCACTACAGTATACGGCCATCATGAGTCAGAATTGGCTCAATGGCAGTGAGTTTGACTTGCGGGATCTATCGATGGAGTGCTGCCCAGTCCTGCATCATCCACACAATCATTGGTAGGTGTTATCAACAAGATTTTCACTGACTAAGTTTCAGAAGTAGATCACCAGTCCTTTCTTCCTGGTCTGTCTCAGACTGGAAGCCCCACTGAAATCTATCTGCGTGGGGGGGGGGGCACTGCTGGCATTTTCAATGCCAAGGGAATAGCTTCGAGTATCACACCAACATGCAAGCCACCACAGTACAACAAACTGACAGACACGTGGTGGACCTATGGTGTAACCCTGTTTAAACTTAGAGATAAGAAACAAACACAAGCAATGTTACTAAAGTGAATGAATAGAGATTCATATTGACGTTTAAAACTCTCCTCAATTTCTACTGCGTACAGAATTTTAGTTCATCTATAAATGAGCTCACAAGCCCAAACCTCGAGCATGTCCTTGATATACATCGTCTATCTAGTCCAGTCAAAAATGAGAGCATTATACCGGTTACCACAGTATCGAAGTTGGAACAAGATCAAACTAAGGTTGACTCCAGTCATTGGGGCAGACGCTGACTCTTCAAAGAAGAGATGAAGGCCTGGAACCATTATGTCTGTCCCAACCACTGTGACACATCAGTGCAGAAACATGCACTCATTACATGACAGTCTCACAGGCCTGGCAAAAGGGAATAATATGCTCAACTGCCGGGGAGCATTAGCAATGACTGGAATTTACTCGATGTATGAAGAAAGTTTCCTGGCTTTTCAGCACTTTTGAGAAACACACCCAGATCTTAATAATCCCTAGGCTGATGATAAAAACTGCTGATAAAAGTCTATGGAGGAGAGAACAGAAAAGAAAGAAAATTACATTTACATCAGGGCATTTTTTTATTTCTTAGCTTGAACAAGTAGCTCTCACACAAGAGAAGAGTGGGACTAATGGCAAAACCATGGCTTTTGAATGACCAGAAAACTTCTCTGTGCCCTAATTTTCCCAGGGAATGGCAGAGATTTGGCCATGCCTGTGTAAAACTTGAATATGATAGAAAAAAAATAACCATTATTTATTTAAGCCACACTGTATTCCAAAAAGGATTTAAAGCAGCTCCACAAAAAGAAGAAAATTACCTACCTGTGATTTCAAATGTGTAGTCATTCCCTTCTAGTTCGTCTAGTCTTGCTACCACCATTCCTGCTATGGCTATTTTTCCCTACCAGAAAAAGAGAATTACCATGAATTCTGTGATTTTGAAGGTTTCTCTTTATTTCTATTAGATTTGCTGACCCTCTCGGGAATCACTGCTGAATTACGGCTGAAGAGGTTTCCTTGGTCTGTCCATTGAATAATATTTCTCTGTTCTAAATTTTAAGCAGAACCTTTGTGATGGGCAAGGGGGAAAGTTGGAAACAATAATGGCATTGAATGCAGACCATGATGACTAGGGTTAATATCACTAAATTACACATGTGAATAATGTTGAAATGGCAAATATCTTGTTACCAACATTTTACCCCCACAAAACTTTTAAGCAAAAAGCCTGCCTTCACAATAGCAAGAAGTTGGAAACAGCCCAAATGTCCATCAGTAGAATGGGTAAAAGAATTTACACGCGCGCGCGCACACACACACACACACACACACACACACACACGCAATGGAATACTATGCACTCCTAAACTGCAGTGATGAAAATAAAATAAACAGTGATGAAACCACGAAGCACCTCATGTCATCCATGGACCAGGAGATCATTATGCTGAGGGAAGTGAGACAATCACAAAAAGACAGGTATTGTATGAGACCACGGCTATAAGGATAAACACCAAGACCAAGACTTGTATACTGAAGGGAAAAGACTTTGGAGGCCCCCAAAGGAGGAAAGGCAGAGCTGAGACGATGAAGCAATGGACCATGGGGTTGAGATGTGTTGACTTAAGTGCAAAGGAGGAAGGTCCATAAGGGGGAGACTAGAAATCAAGGGAAGGGGGGTGGTGGGATAGAATATGAGGTTGATAAGGTCTTTGAACTACTGAATGCAGAGCTGGTCTGAAATGTAACCCCCCCTCACCCCCCAATTCACAATAAAAAACTAGTTGAAAAAGAAAAAGTATGCATTGTGTGCTAGCACATCCAAGGCCACCCTGAACACATTATTATGAGAATCAGTAAAGAAAATAAAGACTCAAGTTTTCTGAAGACTCATCATTCCTGAGGGAGGGGCGTGGGAAACTGGTGATTTGCTCTCATAAGAATCAGCACCTTGGTAGGAGGCCTGGTAGGGCATGATCAAGGGTAATGCAACCGAGAGGAATTACTGAAACCCTAATGAAGAGTGCGCATGATAGTGGGACAAGAGGAAAGCCAAAGGAAATAGCGGAAAGAGCTAGGAGGCAAAGGGCATTTGTAGAGGTCTACATAAAGGCATGTACATATGTAAATATATTTATATATGAGAATGGGGATATAGACCCATGTGCATATATTCATAGGTTTATTATTAAGGTAGGCAGATGGACATTGGGCCTCCAGTCCAGTACTCCCTCAATGCAAGAATACTTTGTTCTATTAAACTGGCATTCTATGATGCTCACTTTCCTGATGCGATCTCTGAAGACAAAGCAGATGCACAAGCAAATGTGCCGAAGAAAGCTAATGGTGCGCGGCTATCAAAAGAGATAGCGTCTGGGTCTTAAATGCTTGTGGATAAACAAGCAGCCATCTAGCTCAGAAGCAACAAAGCCCACATGGAAGAGGCACACCAGCCTGTATGATCACGAGGTGTTAAAGGGATCAGGTATCAGGCATCATCAGAACAAAAAAAGCATATCATTGTGAAGGGGGGGGGCAGTGCAGAGTGGAGACCCAAAGCCCGTTTGTAGGCTACTGGACGTCCCCTTACAGAAGGGTCTCAGGGAGGAGACGAGCCAGAAAGGGTGTGATGTAGCAACGATGAAACATACAACTTTCCTCTAGTTCTTAAATGCTTCCTCTCCCCCGACCCCCCACTATTATGATCCAAATTCGACCTTACAAATCCGACTAGACCAGAGGATGTACACTGGAAACACAAGGAATCCAGGGCGGATGATCCCTTCAGGACCAGTGGTCAGAGTGGCAGTACCGGGAGGGTGGAGGGAGGATGGGTTTGAAAGGGGGAAGCGATTACAAGGATCTATATATAACCTCCTCCCTGGGGCACGGACAACAGAAAAGTGGGTGAAGGGACACGTTGGACAGTGCAAGATATGACAAAATAATAACTTATAAATTATCTCAAGGGTTCATGAGGGAGGAGCGAGCAGGGAGGGAGGGGGAAAATGAGAGGCTGATGTCAGGGGTTTAAGGGGAGAGCAAATGTTTTGAGAATGATGAGGGTAATGAATGTACAAATGTGCTTTACACAATTGATGATGTATGTATGGATTGTGATGAGTTGTATGAGCCCCTAATAAAACGATTTTAAAAAAAAGAATTACCACCTTGATGGCAACCTACATACAAATGTGCTTGATAAAATTGATGTATGGATTGTTATAAGAGCTGTAAGAGCCCCCAATAAAATGATTTCTTATTTTGAAAAAAAAAAAAGAACTAGCACTTAGGGAAATCTATGAGGTAATTCTACTCTGCCAGATAGGGTCACTGCGAGTCAGAATGAACTCGACAGCACATAAGAACAGACCAAGATATAATGGACAACATCATAAACAGCAGGAACAAAAACAAACCAGGGTATTGAGTTGATTCCCACTCATAACCACCATGTAGGACAGCGTAGAATTTGGCCCCAGAAGTTTCCTAAAGTTTGCATGTTTACAGGGAAAGCAAATTGCCAGGTCTTTGCCCGAGTGGAGCTTGCTGGCAGGTTCGAACCTTGGAGCTTTGGTCAGTAGCCAAGCATTTAACCATCTACGCCACCCTGGCTCCCTGATATCTCCATGTACACATTAAGGATTTAGCTCATTGCCCAAGCAGTGGGCAATCAGGATAAACTCATTAGAGCAATACAAATGTTCTGGATCTAAGGAACATTAGCTCTTATAAGCTGATTGATTACAATGAAGGGTCAAAAACAGTCTGCCCTCTCTAGCTGAAGTTTTTAATGTCAGGGTAAAGACAGGGCATTTGGATGGAAACCTGTTTTCATTCTGGGTCCCACTATTGGCTTTATATGAAATCTACTAACCTGATAGATAAAGCCACTCATCCGAGGGCTTGCAGATAGCAGTATCAAAACATTTGAAAATAACATGAGGTACCGCTCTTCTTTTTCCTGAAGGGAAGTGAAAAACATGAAATGGAGAATGGAAATTAGACTTTGCTCTTTGTCGAGAACTTTTGGAATCACTGCATTGAAACAGATTTTATATATTCAACTGCAGTATGCCTGGAGGCTTTAATTTGAAAAGCAGCAATGAGAAACTGTTTCCAAGTCACAGGAAATGTAGTAGACTATGTTTATGAAATTCTTATTCATAAAATTATGCTTAATCCTTAAGACCAGGATAATTATTGTACCCATGTAAAGCCAAAGAATGAATACACACACACACACACACTAAAGTGCTTCTCTCGATGCCTCAACAGGTATGCAATTGTAGGTATGCAATCAATTGCTGCTGTTGTTGTTGTTGTTGTTGTTGTTGTTAGGTGCCCTTGAGTCAGTTCTGACGCATGGCAGTCCTGTACAGTATATGAAGATGGCAGCACCACCTGGTCCTGTACCACCCTTGTTGTCATTTTGGATCCCATTGTTGGAACTACTTTGTCAGTCCATCTCATAGAAGCTCTCTCTCTCTCTCTCTCTCACTCTCTCTCTGCTGTCCTTCCAATTTAACAAGCATGATTTCTTTTTTCCAGGGACTGGTCTCTCCTAGCAACATGTGCAAAGAATGTGAGGGACAATCTCTCCATCCTGGCCTCTCAGGAGCATGCTGGCTGTACTCCTTCCAAGGCAAATTTGCTTAGTCTTTTGGCAGCCATGGTACTTCCAATAGTCTCTTCCAGCCGCACAAGTCAAATGCAACCACTCTTCTTCAGTCTTCCTTATTCAAGGTCCAACGTTCGCATGCGTATGAGGTGATTGAAAATGCCATGGCTTGGGTTAGGGAGCGCCTTAAGTTCTCAAAGATATATGCTTGTTTTTCAACATTTTCAAAAGGTCTTGTGCAGCGGCGGTGCCCATGCAATGTGTCGTCCGATATCTTGATGGCTGCTGCCGTGGCAGGTTTCTATTGGCCATCTAAGCAAATCCTTGATGACTTCCATTTCTTCTCAGTGTATCCTGATGTTACCTATCGGTCCAGTTGTGAAGCTTTGGGTCTCCTTGACATTGAGTTGCACATCATCCTAAAGGCTGCGGTCCTTGATCTTCATCAGCCAGCCTTTCAAGTCCTCCTCCCTCCCTTTCAGCAAGCAAGGCTGAGTCATTCATCTGGATTTTACCAGTGTGAATAAGCTTTCCTCCGATCCTGGTTCCATATGCTTCTACCCATAATCTAGCTTCTCTGATGTTTTCTCAACATGCAGATTGACTAAGTATGGTGAGAGGAGACAACCCTGATGCACACCTTCCCTGATTTTAAAACAACCCAATTCTGTCCCTTTGTTCTGTTCGCACGAGTGCCTCTTGGTCCATGTGCACGTTCCACAAGGAAGTATTCTGGAATTCCCATTCTTCTCAAGGCTGTCCATAATCTATTATGATCCACACATTCAAATGCCTTTGCATAGTCAATTATGCATAGTCACCAGGTCATTAGTGGGTGCAAAAACTACATCTGATTGTCCTCACCAGCAATCTTTCATAGAATGAGCCATGTGCCCGGGTTCTTCTCCTTCCATTCACTTCAGAGCAGCAGCCTGGCCTGTTTCACAACTAGCTTTGCCTCTTTCGCCTTGAGCATCTATCTGCACATCTCCCAATGACAGCCCGCCTTCATGTTCTCCCCACTGAGGTCCTCCATAACATGGTCTTCATGCTCTTTGACCTCTGAACCTTCGGCGGCACTCAGAGAATTGACCACCCTCGAGTGCTCTTTGTGGAACGCCCTCTTTTGTTTGGTTTTGTTATCTTCTGGCGCCGATTCCTGCTCCTTTCGCGAAGTGTATCCCAAAGGAGATAATTTGACAACTGAATAAGTTGATTCTCTCTGGGAGCCCTCCCTAGGGTATCTGCATAGGAAATTAGAGTGTTTATCAACCCAATGTAACGACTCTCCAACGCAGAGATACCCGGGAGCAGAGGAAAATGTTTTGGGAGAGGGACCCAATAAATCATACCAGATGATGCAACCGACCTTCTTCCCTCCCATCCCCTGGCAACTCCCTAAACCAAATAATTCATCTGCAGCCCTTTGTGCTGCCCTCGGGATATTTGCTCCCTTGGATGGCATATTTGTTCATGACATCGGAAGCTCTGGCTCGAACCTTGACCTCTCACCTACATATCCCTGCTACTTTATCATAGCTGGCCACAGAGCCTCTCTACCGGGATTATATGCAGGTGCTTAAAAGATAGCAGGTCTGAACATCAAACCCTATGGGTCACCACTTCCTGTTGACTTTCCCTTCTCGGTGTCTGTCGGACCTGCCCCTTAGGCTCCATTTCCTCTACCACCTCTCTAGCTGGTGTTAGCACATCCCGCCTCAGCTGACCTTTCTGTCTCTAGTCCTGCCCGCGCCCCCCCCCTGCCCTGCCCTAGTTTACCTAATATACACCTTTGTGTCATAAATAGCCCTTTCATCCTTCAATAGTTTCTGATCGCCTGCTACATCCATCTGAACTTCTCTAGCCTGATGACCATGGCTCGCCACACCTGACTCCACCAGTCTTTTTGGGAATGCGCCACGGTCCTCCTCTGCTCCCCACAGGCTGCTTTCTTCGCTGTTCTTCAGAACAACACATTACTGCTCTCTCCTGTGGTAAGAATGGTCTGCCTCTACCTTTCAAAATCCTCCCCTGGTCTCTTCACGGGCCACCTCCTCGAGTCTTATTTTTATACTCTTCGTGATTGCTTCCTGCTCTGAAGGGCTATAGAATCTCTTGCTGAAAGAGCACAAGCCGACATGATTTCTCTGGGTTTGCTTCGGCGTTACACGTTGTGTTTTCATTTGCTTGGAACAAGTTCTTGTCAGGTAGGGATCGTTGCTGCTTCTGTCCCCCTCTCTCCCAAATCACCTAGCAGATTGTTGGGCAAAGGGGAGGTGCTCAGCTTCTGATATGCATGTTTTCGCATCTATCTTTGATGGCAGAATACAAGAAGCAAAATATGAATGGCGGAAGAGGGAAGAGATAGTGTCGCAATTTGAAACATCATACCTCACATGCTCCGTTCTGCACCATGACTTGTGACATAAAAATCACATTTCCCAAGGATTTCATGTCCTCCCCTTCCCATGCCTGAATGGGTTCCGAGAGTATCTGCAACTCTAGCTGTTTTCTCTTCCTCAGATCTTGGCACTGTCCCTGCAGAAGCAAAAGAGAACACAATGGAATGGAAATGCTTATGAACCAGACCCAACACAAGATCAAAAGAAGCTCTGGCTTTTGGCTCGGAGAGCTCCACTTAGTCTCTACTTTCCATCAGGAATCCCCTGGTCCATTCCATTCCTGACACCCAGAAGGACCTTACAGCTCTAGCCTGGAGTCCCCAATCATTTTCGAGAAGAAATACTTTTTATTTTTCCAAAATCTCAAGCAAAATGCTAAGAAGAGTTTGTTTCTTCTTGTAGAGAGTACGGGAAAATAAGGAGTAGAATTGCATCCACTGAAACCTAGAGAGCCAACTGGTAGATGCAGATCTGCAGGTAGGTACCAGTTCCAGCGCCTCTAAAGCGTGTTTCTCTGAAACACTGGTACTTTTCTGAACAACAAAGCAATTTGACTTTTCTAAAGCATGCTCCAAGTCCAACCAAGGGACAACTTGAGAGTGTCAAAGACCAAAACAACAACAAAATGAATCACTGTCGAAGTTATAAAGAAAGAGAAAATTATGCTAACTCCCTCATGTCCAAATTCATCAAATCCATCTTATACTGCAAATGAATTCCATGATAGCTGCAGATTCAAACCAAGGAGTCATTAATTCACAGCTTACAACACTATGTGAATACGTGTATACACCTACATATTTTCAAATCATTGCTCCAGAAAGTACGAGGCTATCTCCAGGTAATTTAACAGCATTCCTTTCAAATTGAATATGAAAGCAGCATAGGGTTAAATCTGTTACTATTTCTGAATGAATATAACAGTTTGGGGCAAGTGGGTTTTCTATAAATCTTTGGCTATCTCACTTAAATGAAGATGAGAAATAAATTCCTTGTATACATATTTTTTTAAGCATCCACACTGGTAATAAGTACGCTACAACTGGCGAAACAAGTAATCATATCAAATGATCTGAAAGATATTTTATTTCAAATTTTAATAGTCAACTGATCTACCAAAAAAAAAAAAAGGAATGCAAATGGCAAGATGTATCACAGGTTCCAAAGGCCTGTACTATTAAGGTGAACCATACAAAATTGATAATATTCAACATTTTGACCTGGAACAACAACAATCTGAACTTCATGCCTTATTCTAGCTTTCAACGTGCAATTTAACCATAGGCATGTGATCTTTTTTAGTAGCAATATAAGCCAGGGGATTGCCAACGCTGCCTCACACCTTTACAGCAAGAATCAATAATGAAATACTGATCCATCGCTAAGAGTGCTAAACTTAACCCAGCCCTCAAAAATAAAGTTTGCTCTCCTTCTAAAATGTCACCACGTGGTTTTAAACCAATAGTTTTGAGGCACACCATCATGCTCAAAATGCTTCAGAAGGCAGGTACCTTTGAATAGCAATCTATATAAAGCAATTGCATTTTAGGGTTTTTTTCTGGCCTTTTAGAGTTTATGCAGGATTTCTTTTTCATATGCAAAGAGCCACCTCACTGTCTGGCACAAATAGCTGAATCCATAGTGATAGCCATCAGTGACAGAGGAGGTAAGCAACAAGGGGCAAGGACAAAGAGACAAAAGGAAACCCCCCACCCACACAGCCATGCTTAATGTGGCTGAGGCTTGGGATTGCTTTACAGCCTTGGGCTGGCTACCGTTCACAGGTAAGTATGATGTTTGAACGACAAAAACTCGGCCAAACAATCACAGTGATATTGTCACTAAAGCTTAGTGTTTCCATTCGAAAGACCTTTGCATAAGCAAAGAAAGGTCACACACAAAACACCGGATTTCAAAAAGAAAAACTAAGAAAAAAGCGTGCTCACTTACAAACAAAGCATATAAAATGGAGAATTATCATTTGAAAGCGTCACCTACCATGAGCATTCTGAATGCTGTGATTGCCTTCAGGATATCCTGATGATCTGGATGAGTATCCTATTAAAGGAATATATTTAAAGTCAATCTTAGAGGAATAACAGATAGGTGGTTGTGACGAGAGAGTTCTCAATCCCAGTAGCAGTCGCACGTCTCCTTACTAAGACGTGCAGGGCTGTGCACAGAACAGTCAACATAAATACAGTCAGATGTGAAAAAGAGAGACGCATTGGGGCATTTGAAAAACCAAAACCCTCCATCAGTCGGTGATTAAGACAGTGGGGAACCTGGAACGTATTTGGTAACAACAGACTCAGACTGGTAGGGAGGCAAGAGCTATCATTTTCCTACTTGCTGTTATGCCTTAAATAATAAAGAATCATTCTTTTGTGAGCATCATTAAATCATGTTGTTAGTAACTAATAGGAGGCAGGGTATTGTGGACACAAGAGTGGTAGTTACAGGACAATCAACCTAATCTCATTTCCCAAAAAACACCTTCATTTTCTTTCAGCAGATTTACCACGGAAGATGGCAAGTCTCCCCGTGCAAGATTCCTGCCATGTGTCCCCTTGGAAGCAAGACCGTCACACATGGCCACAGTTTCATGGCATTTGTGGATAGAGCCATTGAGTCAGTCACCCACTCCTGGCAACCCCATTCACAATGGAACAAAACCCTGCCTGGTCCCTCGCCAGGCCCGTGATGGGAAGGGGACCCGCCTTTGTGATCTGTAGGATTTTCATTCAAATTGGGGAAACAGGCCTTTCCTGCTAGGCCATCTTCATTTAGAATCTCAGCCTGAACCTGTTCGGCATAGTGGCAACACGAAAGCTCCCACTATCAGACAGGCTTGGGTTTGCACATGAGGTACGTTTGTCAGGCACCAAACCTGGGTCTCTCGCAGGGAAGTTGAGAATTCTACCTCTGAACCACCAATGCCTATTCCGTGGTATTGACAACCCTGAAGTGAGAGGTTTAAAATGACTTTGAAGAAGTCACATCTCCACAGGAAGTAGAGCTTCCTGGGTGTAGATTTATACCTCACCTTTGGGGTCTGACCCAAGAATGGCAGTGCTTCTGAGAAGCACCGTTTTACTCCTTGCTAACGAAACTTCTCCCTCCCCAAATCAGCTGATGAACTGATCTTCCAGTTCGAGCCTAACGTCGGCCAGCAGCCTGGCCAACCCATCAGGAAGCTAGAGTAAGTGTCTCACCCGGAGGACATCCCAGATGTGTGGTGAATGGCGGGACAGAGGAGGCAATGGGAACACCTGAGTCCGTGCCCTCACGTGGCTGTTCTTTAGTACTGAGCAGTGACCGAAACTAAGGCCACAGGTCTCTGCATTCGGATGAGAAATGAACCGGAATCAACCTCAAAGGGCTCCGTGCACAGGTTAAGCTTTGGGCCAGACCCTTGGAGAGAGCCCCAACTGCTCTAGTTGCCAGTTGCCCATTGCCTGCAGCGTTCAGGCAGGCCAGACACCTGAATACGTGGTTTCCCTCAGAGTGCCCGCCTTGCAGCCTTCCCCGTGTTGATGGGGCCAGCAGTGTGCATCCTTTCCCTTTAAGCTAACCAACCCTTTTAAAACCTCAAAACCTTCCCCCAGACACAGGAAGAGCAACTAGGGTAAATGCAGCCTCCCCCACGGCCCTCCTCTCCCACCCACCGCTCAGTCCTCAGCGCATGATTGAGCAAGGACGGCTCCAGAAGCTCTACCTGCTGAGGTTTCTTTTAATAACAAGAAAATGTGCGTTTGTGATGAGAAAATAGACCATTATCAAGCCTCGTTGCAAATCTTAATCCTTACATGATGAGAGCTATAAGACAACGGTTGCATGTACACTGTAATTTCATAAACAAAACTGGGAGGGGGTTTTGAGGTGCATGCATAGAGAGGAAAATTGATATTCATCTTTAAGAAAACCCTGGAATCTTCTCGTCTAGTGCAGAGTAGGAGAGATAAAGAACTACAGTGCCCTAGAGAGAGATCTCTATTTAGACTGGGTGTGCTTTGTATTTTCTATTGGTTTCGCTTTCTTGATCTACCCAGAAATGTTGGTTGTGATATAAGAAGGAGCAGCGAAGGACTGCTGTCTGATTTCAACAGGCCACCTTTTACAGAAGAAACCCTAAGTCAATAAATTACAATCGCTCTGAGGAAGCAACAGAACTCAGGCGGGAAAAATGATCCCGAAGATCTTCTTTGGCTGCATAAACATTAAAAGAAGTCATCATAAAACCCAGAAACCTGGGGAGAGGGGAAATCGAGTAAAGCAAATGGTGAGGCCAAGGCATTTTTGGAATGACTGAGCAAGGCCAGCGTAGAAGCAGCTGGCCCCTCCCTCCAGAACACGGAACCACACATCGCACATAAGCGTCACAAGCATGCCTTCACTTACCTCCATGTGCCGTTCCAGCTCTTGCAAGAGAGTCACATACTTTTCCAGTCGCATGAACGGTTTGCTGAGGCTTGTTGTTAAAATGAGGATACCCGGGCTGGAGGCACCTTGACTCTCCATAAATTGTTCCAGCTCATCACTAGGAAACCAAGGGACACAGTTCTGTCACTGCCCAACAGTCCATGGAAATCCCTCATCCCCCTGAGTGGGCTGCACCACGCAGAAGACAAAGACCAATACAATCCATTTCACTTGTGCAGATGCTGTTCATGCCAACCCATTGCAATGAACCATCATCCAGCCCCTTCCGTGCAAACACAGTGGGGAGCTGAACACTCGAGAATCCTGTTCTCCTCTACTCTCCTAGCCATCATTTCCTGAACATCGAACACGCGCCGCTCTGTCCTAGATGGCTCGCACGAAGCATGAACACAACAAAAGTATCCCCCGTTAAGGGCCCGCACTCATGGGGCTTAGAGCCTAGCAGATGATCTCCACATACAGTTCAAAAAAAACATTTTTAAAAAATTTTCTCAGTCACTTTACTCTTGGTATTGGCTGGTCAAATGCCCAGGGTAGCAACTCAACAAGTACTTCCTATCACTGGGGCGTCCATTTGGAATGTGCTAGAATCAAATTCTGAACTCAGACACCAGAATGCTTATGACTAACCACAAAGTGTCTTCGCCTACCACGGCGAATCCACCATCGCAAGCCACGCAACCGCTTCCATAAGGCAACCATTTGTTTTTTCCGAAAGCGTTTCAAAAGAGTGGATGCTGTTGTTAGGTGCTGCCGAGTCAGTGCCAACTCCTAGCACCCCTATGCCCAACAGAACACGCCACCACCCAGCCCTGTGCCAGCCTCACGATTGTTCTTCTGGTTGCGTCCACGGTTAACCCATCGTGTCCAGGCCCTTCCTCTCTTTTGCTGCCTCTACTTTCCCCAGCATGGCGGCCTTCTCCAGACACTGGCCTCTCCTGACAGCATGTCCACAGTGCGTGCGACAGAGTCTCTCCTCCTTGCCTCTAAGGAACACACTGGCTGTACTTCTGCCGAGACCGGCGGGTTTCTTCTCCTGGGAGTCCAGGGCGCTTTCAGTACTCTTCCCTAGCCCTGGACTTCCAACACACCAAGTCTTCTTCCCACTTCCTTATTCAAGGTCCAGCTTGCACATTTGAACCAGCGTTGGTCAGGTGGGCCATCTGGGTATCTAACTGTAAGCTTGAGCGCTCTCTCCCCTTTCACACCCTTCTGGACCAACTCTTTCCCACCAGCAAGTATGGGAACTCCTGTGGCGGCTTAAAAATCCATGTAAGAAAATGTGATTAGCGAAGGAAAGGCACTGCCGAATTGGTGGTCTACTTGGAAACGGCTGCTGTATCACTTGACTCCTTCATGTCCTCGCTGCTTCGTGCACACCCCGGTAGTCACAAGTCTTCTTGGAGTTGTGCGATCATTTCCATACGACTACCTTTGCCCAGGCTTCACCTCAATCCATCGGTTCACGGGACACGTCCAACTGGTCTCCTGGTCTCCAAGCTATTTGTCCTCGAAACCAGGCATCCTCAAACTACGGCCCGCAGGCCACCTGCGGCCCGCCGAGGACATTTATCCGGCCCGCTGGGTGTTTTTGCCCCTTTTGTTTTTTAACTTCAAAATAAGTGTGCATAGGAATTTGTTCATAGTTGTTGTTTTTTTTAACTATAGTCCAGCCCTCCAACGGGTCCGAGGAACAGTGAACTGGCCCCCTGTTTAAAAAGTTTGAGGACCCCTGTTCAAAACCATCCTGGCAACCATCCCTTCGACTCCCTCGCTGCCCTACTGGAAACCCTCTATTTGCCTCTAAGATTAAGCCTAACCTTTCCTCAGGGCCCCACCAAACCTTTCTCACCACCCCCCATCAGGAACCCTCTACTGCAGGGTGACCTACTTATCCTCCCCAGAACACATCATCCATCTGCAGTGGTTCCCAACTCTCGGGGGGCGGTCGCCACAGCTTGTGAAGTGCGGTCAAAGAAACTCGCTCTCACTCATCATTCAAGTACTAAAGGGGGTTGACGATGGGGAGGAGCGCTCGTTCTTCCTCTGAATAATCAACACGCTCTCTCCTTGGGCTCTTGCGAGTGGGAGGGAAAGGGATGAAGTTTCAGCTCTTGCACCAGCAGCGTTGAGTCATGCAGTGCCAAGTGTGTGGGAGCGGGAAACCAGGCAGAAGCTAGAGCTTCCCGGAGTGGTCACAGCTCACCGTCAATGCTGACCATTTTGTTCATTTTTGCAGTCCCGCTCCATCCAGGAGCATCCAAGAGGAGAGAAGTACCAGAGAAGTCGATGAGCCTCAACAGACTCATCTGTACAAATAGAGATAAAGCCTACTTTCTAATATAAGAGAGAAGGTTACAAAGTGGGTATTTGAAGGCTACCATGTCACGCTAAGATCTTTGTAAGCATTCAAGTCAGCGTCTCAACACAGGTGTTACCCCTCCCTTACAGATCAAGAACCGAAGACTGGATGGGTAACAGTCGGCAGGTGGCTAAGCTGGGATTCAAACCATGTCTGAAGCCAAGCCCCACATCTCCACATCTTTTACTACACTGCCTGTCGACAAGAACAGATTTTGCAAACTTTAAAGTAAGCACTACAAGATGAAAGAAGTCACTAGATGCATTACGAGTCATTCTTCCAAGGCAAAAACCTAGCTAAAACCATATCATTGTAAACTACTAGTTTCTTTGATTTCCAGCTTAATGGAAATTCAATTGCTATTTCTTTACAATCTAAAGCATACCGAGATTTGTAAATTCAAGGCATGTAGAATCCAATTAGAAAAATAACCTGCATTGGGAGAGTGCATTTGAGTAGAAATGTAATTTAAAGAAAATCACTTTCCTAATTTCTATTCAACTTAGTAAACAAGTCTTGTTTTATTTTTTTCTTTCCAGAACAAAATGACTGCCTGCATCCTTAACACATTCTTCTTTAATTGATGTGAAGTTCAACTCTAATTGATTGACTGGTCTACTCTAATTACTGTTATATTCCACTCTATTGCTGTAAGGTTTACAAGAATTAAAAGCAAATGCTAATTAATGTGTATTTTGTTATTCCTTTTCATGGAGCATTCTACCAACCGGCCTGGCGAAGTATTATAAAGCAAACACTGATTATTCAGAAGAAGAAAAATCACTCATTTCCTTTTTTTAAAAAACTGCCATATAGTCTTAAAAGCTTGAAGATAAACAAGCGGCCAACTAGCTCAGAAGCAACAAAGCCCACATGGAAGAAGCACACCAGC